GTGTGAGTGTCTGGTGCAAGTGTGAGTGTCTGGTGCAAGTGTGAGTGTCTGGTGCAAGTGTGAGTGTCTGGTGCAAGTGTGAGTGTCTGGTGCAAGTGTGAGTGTCTGGTGCAAGTGTGAGTGTCTGGTGCAAGTGTGAGTGTCTGGTGCAAGTGTGAGTGTCTGGTGCAAGTGTGAGTGTCTGGTGCAAGTGTGAGTGTCTGGTGCAAGTGTGAGTGTCTGGTGCAAGTGTGAGTGTCTGGTGCAAGTGTGAGTGACTGGTACAGGTGTGAGTAACTGGTGCAAGTGTGAGTGTCAGAGTATGACATGCCTGTGACAGTTTTCAAGGGCTTTCACTCTCACAGCCAGGTCTGATATCAGGCTTCCTTGTTGACTGTCTGATCAACCAGGCTATTGCTGCTAGCGGCCCGCAGGCTCACTTAACCATTGCAACATGCCTGATCTGGCACTTTAGTCATTCGAGTTTGATTTGAAAGTTTCTACTTTTGTTTCTGCAATATTTATTATACCTGCTCCTAAGGGATTCTTCACTTAGGTATCTGTAAGCAATTTGTAAAGTTCTTAGGATGATAAACATCTGCGGTAATAAAGAATTAGACACGTGTGCAACATATGGGTGTATATGTAGACTTTTTGCCATCTACAAATAAAAGTATCCAGATGTGTGTTAATTCTTCATCTTGTCGGTATTGTATACCATTCGTGTACCACCTGCGGTAATATTTCGTGTGATGTTCTCCCCTTAGACGTGTACACGATGCTGGTAGTTTCTTGCTTCCCAGCTTCTACTCCATTACTTTGTGATTTCTCTCTCTTTTTTTACAATTTTATGTTCTGGCACTTATTTAGGTTATAGTTTGACTATCCTTTCCGAATCTTTCTCAGACCTTTGCTCAACAGGGTTGAGAATGTGAGAAGCCTGGCTACGAAAGTGTGTCGCGGGATTAACGGACGGAGAGTCGAGCCTCTCCCACTCTTTCCGGTGAAATTATTCTTGGCCACAGGTTTACCGTCGCAGTCAAGATACTTATCCCTTCAGAAATAAGGAGCAGTCCTTATCTTCAGGGTAGTCACCCTGAACTTGACAAACTTGTCAAGTTCCTCGTTGAAGACGGTTGGGTAGTTGTTGGTATTTCTCATTGTACAATGTAGGAAGGAAGGGCGTTGAAAATTGAAACTTTAGCCTTTACACTTCATGCTACGTACTTGTAGTTTAGCTGTAGCTGATCCTGGGGTCATCACCCCCGTGACCTGGTCTCAGACCAGGCTTCCTGATGGTCTGATCAAGCAGGCTGTTGGTGCTAGCAGCACACCGACCAAAGTAGGCACCACAACCCGGCTGATCAGGAACTAACTGAAGATATCCTTGGTAAAACCAGCACTTACATCCTGATGCTTTATGCCTTGCCCCATCACCTATTAGAATGTAGCACAAGACACTTGTATAGAATTAATACCACAAACACGTAGGAGCAATAAACGCACTTTGTAACTGTGATTGGTAACTGTTTATAAGAGTATGCAAAATTTGCTGTAGAAACAGTTGATATTGCCAATGGCACGTCAACTCTTGAGGTGTACTCTTGTTATGACTCCCTTGGCTAAGATCTGCTTAAAAAAACTGTGTTTCTTGGCGTATTGGAGCACTTTGAAGTTAATCTGGGGCTGCTCTTCCAGTTTGTGCACCAGTCGATGGGGGTACCTTGCCAAATACTTTCCTGTGCTCCAAGGCTATGCAGGTCACTCGCCCATATCTTTATTGCTTTATCTCTTATTCTGCTGAATCTGCACTCTCTCGAAAGGCGTAGAATTAGGGGTGATATGATCGAGGTGTATAAATGGAAAATAGGAATAAATAAAGGGGATGTAAATAGCGTGCTGAAAATTTCCAGCCAAGACAGGATTCAGATTCAGGAAGGATATAGGAAAGCACTGGTTTGGTAATAGAGTTGTGGATGAGTGGAACAAACTCCCGAGTACAGTTATAGAGGCTAAAACGTTGTGTAGTTTTAAAAATAGGTTACATAAATACGTGAGTGGGTGTGGGTGGATGTGAGTTGGACCTGACTAGCTTGTGCTACTAGGTTTGATGGCGTGCTCCTTCCTTAGGTGGAAGTGACCTGACTAGGTGGGTCATTGGGCAAATCCGGGGAGGGGACATGGACCTGCTTCGCATGGGTCAGTAGGCCTGTTGCAGTGTTCCTTCTTATGTTCTTATCCAAATATTTATCCTTGAGTACTCTCGCTTTTTTTCCCAATCTGACACTTCGAACTGTCACCCTTTCTCTCCATTCGTATGTCTCACGTAGAGACCTAATCATAGGACCATATCTTTGCAGACATTACTAGAGTTTGGGAGTGTCATCTATTAAGGATACGGCAAGTCTCCAAAGTGGCCTTGCAGCACGTTTACCTTATGGCGCTTCCGGAGGTTATCGCCTTTGCGGCCCGGTCCCAGACCAGACATCCTGATTGCTGGCCACACGCAGTCCAGAGTATGCACCACAGCCCGGCTGATCAGGAACTGATTTGAGGAACTAATAGAGTTTCCACTTGAAGACAACCAAAGATTTATTGGCAGTTACACTTATGCTGGAATGGAGAGTGTTGAAGATCAGAGGACCTGTTTTAGTGTAATTGCACCCTTGCTTTTTATTGGAGCTATTCTGCTCCGTTCAGAGCAGGAGAAATATTAGAGCTGGAACAAATACAGAGTTCAGTTATGACCTGCATAGAACTAATAAAGAATTTAAATATTCAGTCAGTGGAGCGGAGGATAGAGATATATGATAATATATACGTGGAAAGTACTTGAACGCCTAGTTCCGAACTTGCACACTGCCATAACACATTTGAGCGAGAGATATAGGAGGAAGTGCAAAATAAACGTAATGAAAAACAGGGACGCCATGGGCACAATAATAGAACATTATATCATTATCAGTAGCCCCAGACTATTCAATATCTTACTAGAAGATATAAAAAACACTGCTGGAACAAGTGTAAAAGTCTTATAAGGAAACTGGACAAGTATCTTCACCAGATGCCAAATTAATCAGGCTGTGATGGGCATGGTGGACCAATGGGCCGCCAACAGCAGCAGCCTAGTTGACGAGGCAAACACCAGCGAGTTTGGCCTAAGGCCGGGCTCCAGGAGTAGAAGTCCCTAAACTCATCAGCTGTTTGACCCTTGTATGTTTAGCGCTTCTTTTTTTATTATAACAGTCTAAACTCATCAAAGGTATATCCTACGTTCCAAGGAGTACAGTTCGAGGGACTTAAAAAGCATTCCCAGTTTTTCAGATATTTTATTGAGTTTATACTGGCAGTGAATCTTCTCTCTCTACGTTTTCTAGGATCCATGACTCGACCCCTGCAACCACAAATGAGTACACACACACACACACACACACACACACACACACACACACACACACACACACACACACACACACACACACACACACACACACACACCACACGTTTTGAATGTTCTAGTTATCCAGCCTATCATTTCCCTTACAGTAGCGATATCAGCAGTGTTGTGATCCATGAATGTGAGATCGTCTGACATCATTGATCTCAAGTCTCGCACATGGAACGTTGGCTCTGTTGTATAATTCGAGTTTGTGTTGTGGAGCAATTGAAACTTGTCATCACTGAACATCATAGTGTTGTCTGAAACCCACTTGATGATTCACTGTGTCTGTAATAGACGTTACTCTCGTGGAGATTTTGGTATCATCTGCAAAAGACGATACGATGCTAATATTTATTTTTTTTGTCTATGTCGGACATAAGAATGAGAAACAGAAGAGGGGGGGGGCGAGTATTGTGCCTTTAGGGACAGAGCCTTTCATTGTAACAGTTTTTTACTTTACTCTGTTTACTACAACTCTAGAATGGAGTACTGCTGCACTCTTATAATAGCTCATTTTAAGGCAGGCGAAATTGCTGATCTGGAGAGTGTACAAAATGGCCTTCAGTGTCGTATAAATTTTGCGAATTACCTATATTACTGGGAATGCTTGAAGTCCCTCGAACTTTACTCCTTGAAGTATAGGCGAGAAAGATACACCGCTGGATTGGACCCAGATCTGCACACACAAATCAATCCCCACGGAAGCAAAAGGTTTGGCAGACGATACAAAATACCTCTATGGATAAGCAGGGGTGCAATGAATATACTTAAAAGAACTCAGTAAGTGTAAGGGGAAAGGCCCTTCAATATTCTCCCTTCGTGCGTAAGGAAAATTACTAATAAGTCTGTCGCTGCCTTGAAGAGTTGAATGGGCCAGTAGGTCTACTGCAGTGTTCCTCCTTTCTTATGTTCTTATAAATTCTTTTGAGTGTGAGTGCCTGATTAGGTGGGCTGTGGTGCATACGTTGGACTGCATGCGACTAACACCAACAGCCTGGTTTATCAGGCTATCAACCAGGAGGCCTATTGTGGGACTGGGCCGCGGGGATGTTGACCCCCCCCCTAAATCGTCTTCAGATAACCTGCAGTTGACTATAATTATCACATAAGTAGGGTAGCAACACACTGCTGATGCGTCCAATTTTATTAAAAAATGTGTTGCGGAGGGCCCCTTCCCCACTTGGTGGATGGGGGAGGCCCCGTCACATGGTTGTGGTGGGTGGTATGCGCCACATACCTGAGCGTCACCTGCGCCTGTTGTGGCAACTACTGCTGCTGCCGGAGGCTGAACACGCCCCGCCTCCTGTTACACGCACGCCATCTGTGCTGGGCTTACGCCTCGCTGCACCGTCCCGCTAAGGTCGAAATTTGGATGCTAACTCGTGGAGGATAGAACAGTATGGTGTGGGGTGACGTGGCTGGTGTTGTGGTGGGGGCGGGGTGCCTCGCGGCCCATAAGAGTATATAAGCTCAGAGACGGGGGCTTCAGTGCGCCGTAGCTCGGCCGAGCGAGCGGACCTTCCCTCCTGCTGCTGATGCTCTGGCAGATGGAAATTGGAAGCCCAGCTCGGTGCGAGCACCCCATGCCCGGCCACTGGCACCCACCCGGGCTGGGTATAGCGCCAGTGGCAGGTGTGTGGGGTCCTGCCACCCCAGGGTGAGGGAAGGTCTCTGCCTGCCACTCCGGGGTGTGGGGTGTTGCCGCTTGCTTGCTGTGGTGAGCCACTGCCGCCGCACTACTCGCATGATGACTCCTGACAATAAATTTATCTCCCCCCTATTAACCCTCAACTTCTCAGGGTAGTTTGTAGTTACTATGAAGTAAATTTAGTTTTATTGGACAATTGAAGATGGTAAGGGGCGACCTTCAGCACTGCTGCTGCTACCTGCCTCCCCTTTTCCCTACCTCTCTTTTCTAAACTCGGGCATCTTATGTCGCAATATCGCCCCATGCCACACCTTATATAGCCCCTTCATCACTAAACTTGTATCCCGTTGACGAAGTATTACCTCCCCACCTTACTTCAACCCCCAACAAAACCTCTAACATTACTCAGGCATCATGTTAGTGCAGTGGTTCCACACCTACATAGCCCTACCAGCTATCAACACCTGTAACCTCGAGTGCTGAACCTTGGTGAAGAAACATGTATTCAGCAATACTAGTGTTCCTGTGTTGTTAAAGGATAAGTGGTGGTGGTGGCGGCGGTGGAGCAAGGACTGTTACTTCGAGTGTACCCTGCAAGATTGGACCTTGTATAGAAAAGTGATAGGGAGCAGTGAAGTGGTGCCGGGGCAAGAGCGAGTGATATCAGGTTAATTTCCGCCTTATGGACTAGTGAAGTAAAGTGTGTGCCAGCTGGCCAGTGGGTCGGAAAAACCCCACGTCGCTTGACTAATCCGGCCTTGGTGTTGTGGGAACTGCCAGAGATGTCTTAACAATACTTGCTATACACTTGTGCTATATTATAGTTTGTTGTTGTATCGCAATAAGTACCATACATGAAACTTAGGAAATTGCTCCTGCTGAAGAGATCAAGTGTGTGGTGCTCATTATTTTACAGAAGTTTTAAATGTGGATTAATGTGCCGTGTTAAAATTGTGAGAGTGGGAGGCCTTGGTGAGAGGTGACCCGTCCACCTCACACACCCTGTTGCCTGGCCTCTGGCTTATTCTGGGGAAATACCTGCTGCATGAATGTCCCACAGGGGGGAGACGTGGCCCCACGCCCCCTCCTTTTCCCCCGGTTACTCGACCAGCTCCACATGATTACCATCCCCCCATTTCCCCAAGGGAATTACAGGTACATGAGTACATGAAGAATTACCCAAATTAAGGCCAGTTATGGTGACGCATATGTGAACTTCAAGAAACGAGGATGACATATTAAAAACAATGAAAAATAACTGCTGAGAACTTGAATGTTGACAAGTAGGAATGACCAAGTGGTGATTGATAGGCATGGAGGCAAATAAAGTGATTGGTATAGATGAAATGAAGTTTGAGACACATGAACGAGAAAGAACGAAAAGGCACAATAAGAAAGGCGTGACACAAGACGAACATCAAGCGACAACTGGATGAAAGTGGTACCAGCTTAAACTATATAGTGATTATTTGTAATAATGATTAGACATAGAAATTTGTGACTCAGAAATACGTAACAATGCCTTTTTGTAATTATCACGTAGTTTCTCCGTGACTGGAAGTTCTTGTGTACGTACGTGGTGGTCAGAATTTTAACCCATTGTTGAGGTGCTTGTGAAAGTTAGCTTTGAAGTGTGCCATTAAAGACATCAAGTACATTGGTGTGTGTCAGGTGAACTTGTACACACAGTACTTGTTAAGTACATTGTCAGATACACAGAGAAGTCTGTGTAATACTCTAGTATATTGCATAAATTATTCGGATAGTGTACAAATGACAGCGCGGCCTTAATGATCCTCGACATGGGTTTTAAACATGTAGATTTTGTTTTGAGTTTATTGAAGAGCACCTCTCATGGTGTGAGTGAACATGCCACCATAAAAGCAGTGCATAAACCAAATGGAGGATCATTCCTGTTGAAAGAAGTGTTGGCTGGCATGAGGTTAGTTTGGTGAAGGACTAATGTGTCTCCCAGGCAGCTTGGTCACGCGTGTGGAGACATATTGGCCAGCAGCTGATGCCAAGTGTTTCCCGATGGTGAACACTTCTAGCGGTGGCGCACCCACTGCAACATCACCAACTAATACTTTTTAAGGATTTCACGTCTAAATTGCATATTAATATGTAAACTTTTTTTTTTTACCCTCCAGCAGTGAGGATGGAGCTCACAAGTGGAGTAAGTGGAAAGTGGGTGGTTGTGCAATGGTGTGGAGGGAGGGGGAGACTCCAAGAAACATGCACCCCACAAGGACGAGGCTGACGCACTAAACTGCCACCACAATCAACCAGCACCTCCACAATCCACCATAACTAAGCCAACCACCACCACAATAATCAACACTGGATGCGGAACAAGGAGACCCATTTCATAATAGGAAGGAAAGGTATAAAAGACTTGAGTATATTAATGTCAGCTGACCAGTCATCGAGAGGAAACAGTAAGACAGATGTCGCGAAACCCAGAAAAAATGACAAGATGAATAATGAGAACTTTCAAAATAAGAGAAATAACAAAAATGGTAACTCGTGCTTTCTCGTTTAGAATATTGCTTCGTATTGACAGCTCCGATCATAGAATGTACATGAAAGATCACGTGAAAGCCCTAGGTATAATAATGTCAGTCGACCTATCTTTTAAAGAGCATAAAAAGAAATCCTGTGAAGGTCAGGAAAATAACGGTGAATAATGAGAACTTTCAACCCAAGGGAAATAATGCACTGGTAACTCTATTCGAATTACTTGTGTTTTCTCGCATGGATTACTGCTCAATGTTGACAGCGAAATAGTCAGAGCAGAGCTAGAAAAATACTGAGAGCGTTTAAAGCCCAAATAGAACCAATAAAACATTTAAACTACTGGGAAAAATGGAAATGTACTGTGGGGAAAAAAGAGAGATGCAATGATGCCAGATCTGCGCACTACCATGACAGCATATTGGAATGAGAGATACGGGAAAAAGTGTAAAATACATCCATTGATAAGCAAGGGCGCCATGGACACACTAATAGAGCATAGTGTTAACATCCCTGGGTTTAGATTATTCAACCTGCTACTAACAGATATAAAAAATATTGCCGAAACACGTTTACAAGTCTCTCTGCAACGCATTTAAGAACTATGGAAGGAAGTGTTAAATAGTCCCAGTGAAAGCAGGGGCTCCATGGGCATAATGAGAGACCATTGTTTCATTTATCGCCGGTCAATGATTATTCATACTGCTACCAGCAGATAGAAATATTGTTGGAACCAGTGTAAAAGTTTCAAAGAAGAAACTGGACCACCTGCTACCACCACCACCACCTACTACCACCACCACCACCACCACTACCACCACCCCCACCATACACCACCACCACCACCACACCACCACCTACTACCCACCACCACCACCTACGCCACCTACTACTACCACCACCACTACACCACACACCACCACTGCCACCTACTACTCACACCACCACTCCACCTACTACCCACCACCACTGCCACCTACTACTACCACCACCACCACCACCACTGCCACCTACTACTACCACCACCACCACCACTGCCACCTACTACCACCACCACCACTGCCACCTACTACCACCACCACCACCACTGCTACCTACTACTACCACCGCCACCACTGCCCCCTACTACTACCACCACCACTACTACCACTATCGCCTACCACCACCACCACCACTATCGCCTACCACCACTACCACTATCGCCTACCACCACCACTACCTCCTCCTCCTACTACACTACTACACACTACTACTTCCCACTACCACACCACCACTACTACCTCCTCACCACGATCACCACCACTACCTCCTCCTACCACCATCAACACCACTACGTACTACCACCACACATACCTCCTACTATCACCATCAACACCACTACCTCCTGCTACACTACTACCACCTCCCACCACCAGTCTCACCACCACCACTCCCACCATCACCACCACCACCACCACCACCCTACCACCCCCACCACCACCACCCTCCCCCCCACCACACCACCCTACCACCCCCACCACCACCCTACCACCCCCACCACTACTACCACTCTCCCACCACTACCACTCTCCCACCACTACTACCACTCTCCCACCACTACTACCACTCTCCCACCACTACTACCACTCTCCCACCACCACTGCCACTCACCCACCACCACCACCACCACCAACTCCCACACCACCACTCTACCACTACCACTTTCCCGCCACCACTTACCACCACCACTCTCCCACCACTACCATCACCACCACTCTTCCATCACCACCACTCTTCCACCAACACTCTTCCATCACCACACTCTCCCACCAACACTCTTCCACCACTACCACTCTCCCACCAACACTCTTCCACCACTACCACTCTCCACCAACACTTCCACCACTACCACTCTCCCACAACACTCACCACCCACCACCACTCCCACCACCCACCATCTCCACCACTCCACACACCACTCCACCACTCTCCACCACCACCACCACTCCCACCATTCTCCCGCCACACACCATTCTCCCACCACACACCACCAGACTCCCACCACACACCACTCTCCCACCACTACCACTCTTCTACCACCACCAACCACTTGTGACGCACTCACTCATTGCTTGCACCACCGCTGCCTCCATTAATACATCTAACAGTTCATCCACTACCACCATTTGTGATATACCCGTGACCGTTTTCGAGAGTTTTTGTACTACATCATTACACCACCACCACCATCTTTTGCCTACTATTATAACAGTAAGAAAATGCGGACGTGAAGTGCCTGTACACAGCTGTACCTGACGTACATGTACACGCGACATTGTGGTGATCAGCTGTACCTGACGTACATGTACACGTGACATTGTGGTGATCATCTGTACCTGCGACATTACGCGACTGTGGTGATCAGCTGTACCTGACGTACATGTACACGTGACATTGTGGTGATCAGGTGTACATGACGTACATGTACACGCGACATTGTGGTGATCAGCTGTACCTGACGTACATATACACGTGACATTGTGGTGATCAGGGTACATGACGTACATGTACCGTGACCTGGTAAACCTGACCCCTAGTAATAAGACAGTACCTCCGTCCTCACCCTTACTTAACCAGTACCTGCGTCTCCTCCCCTCTTAAACCAGTACCTGCGTCCCTCACCCCTTACCTAAACCAGTACCTGCGTCCCCTCACCTCTTGCCTAACCACATCAAGTAGCATTAAGGCCTCAGGCGAGAAAATAAAACTAATGTACTCTAGAAGTTAATATAAATTTGTAGATAAATTATCCGAAGCCGAGGGCTTGATCCAAGGTATGAGAGCTCACCCTTCCTTGGATCAGTAATAATAATAAAAGTAGGGAAGATAATGAGAATAGTAAAGCAGTTGACGAGTGCTACTAGGTAGATGTCAGGTAGACTCCAGGTGAACCTAGGTAAGTAATGCTACGAGACACCCATGCTATGGTAATGACGCACATATGTAGATATGTACAACCTTTATTTACGATGTTTCGCCCACACAGTAGACTCTTTGTCATGTTTGAATGAATGGTTTAGAAAAACCGACTACTTGATAAATGAGACATTTGTGCAACATCTGGGTATCTTTATTCTGGAAAAGTTTCGCTTGCCATTGGCTTCTTCAGTCCCTGCAGAGGGACTGATACCCCAAACTGCTGCTAATCTTTCACCTTTCTCTGCAGTGGACTGAAGAAGGCACTGGCTGGCGAAAACTGTAAATACTACTACTACTAACTACGACCGTCACCATTACGACCAGCACTACTGCAACCACCAACTCATACCAGGTTTATCTATAAGTGGTATGATAAAGATTATATATGGGCGAAACGTCGTCAATACAGATTTCATACACGTGCATTCGTTTGGCTTTAATTCCTGTTCTTTCTCTTTTTAAAGTTACCCAGAGTACTGGTAGTAAAAACAGTTCCGTAACATTAAGTGGTGCAGGTCCTGCCTACGGGTATTGTCTCCATACTAATGGTATATTGCAGACAGTAATAAAGGAAACAAGAAACACGTACAGAGCCAGCTTTTAATGGAACGACGTTTCGATCTGTGCTGCAAGAATAAAAGGACTTCTGGTAGTAACATTTGCGTTTTTTCTAGACTTTATTGGTAGAAACCTGTGACCTATTTCAATTTTTTTTTCTCTACGCCTTTCCTGAGGCCAGATCAGCCTGGTCAGCCAGACTGTTGTGGCCCAACAGACGCATAACCATTACATTTTGTTCATAAGTTAACCCTTAAACTGTCCAAGCAGATATACGTTCACATGCGTAGTGCTCCAAAAGTAGATCTACGTTTTGTACATATATTCAAATATAACGACAAAAAAAAGTAGACCAAAGTCTTTTTACACGTTTTCAAATGTAAAAAACAAAAAGTTCTACTTTTTTTTACATTCATATGTTGAAAAAACGTAGATCTACGTTTGGGCAGTTTAAGGGTTAAATGGGGTGTGTAGGATGCCGGAGAAGAACTGAGGAGGAAATGTCAAGGTACACAAGGTTTGGTAAGAAGGTGTGGCGAGTAACGGGAGACCAGACAGCCTCCACTCGTAACCAGCTAGCCAGAGGGCTCTCATTAAGCAGCTCTTAGCCTGGCACCACCACTTACACTCCTACCTATACCTCGTATACCTTTGAGTGGTTTTCAGAGTTTTCCTAGTCCCGTAGCCCTCCCCTGAGCCAGGCTTGTCTGGTGTTTGGAGAGCAGGTATGGTGATATTGACACTATGCACCACAATTTACACTTAAAATTCTGGAGGGATTGATCCCAACTCTTCACACACCAAAAGTACTCCTTACGAGAGCAAGAGGCTCGGCAGACAGTATAAAGTACCCACTGTGAAAAGCTTGGGTGCATTGAGTGTACTAAGAGAGAACGCAGTGAAGATCAATGATATAAAATACCGACACGATGGAAAAATAAACCCATGCAATATAATATAATGCGATCCTTTATTGGCAACATTTCGTCCACACAGTGGGCTTTATCAAGTCACAAACAGTCTGTCTCAAATCTAACCTACCCAACATGATCCACCTGACTCTATCCTATAAATACTCAAGTACTATTCACCCAAGTAAATCTGCTTGTGACTTCATAAAGCATATTGTGTGGACAAAACGATGTCTATAAGGGATCACATTATACTGAATTTGTTTATTTTTCCAGATAACGTAATAAGTGTAAATGGATCGATTTTTCGACATCTCTCATACACAAAGGGAATTACCAACAAATCCCTAGCTGTCTTCGAGAGGAAACCTGATAATTTTCTGAAATTAGTTCCTAATCAGTCCGCGCGTAGTGCCTTCGTTAGGCTGCTTGTGGCTAGCACATTAGCCTAGATGATCAGGCCATCGACCAGGATGCCTGTGTTTGGACCGTAGGCTCGGAAATATTATTCACGTAATCTATTGTTGTTAGTTTTAGGGGGCGCTACCCTTCCAGCCTGGTCCCAGCCTGGTTCCAGGCTGCTAGGGTGGCTTGATCAGTCAGGAAGTTGGTACTAACAGCACTGAGTCCATCGTAAGATCACAGCTTGTTAGATCAGAAACTTTAGAGGCGCAGAGGTTGCCTGGATTACCTGGGTGGGAGGAGAATAAAAATCTGCCTTTAGCAGGAGTCTTTCTCGGGCTGTGGGCCACCTTCTGAAATGTGGCGTAATGTTTGTCAGGGAGGTCAGGAAATACCCCGTGCCTTCCTTGAACAGGCTGTAGGTAGTGGATAGGCACAAGTAAGTGCCAGGCTCTGGTGATGCCCCAGGCTAATTTCCCCAAGCATGATTTTATTTATTCTTCTTTTAGGATAAGGTTATTTACAAGGGTGAAGAGCGAGTGTAGCGGCTCCTTTGTTGTGATAACCAATGAAGACTAGCATTGTGCTAGTTACCAAGCAAATCCTGCTGTTCCCCACAGAGCTCCGTGTTCACTGGGGAATTCCACTCAACACAGGCATTCCTCTCAATATACAGTAGGTCTTCTCAACATAGGTCTTGCGCTAAACACAGGTCTCCTGAACTCAGACCTTGCCATGTTTTAAGGAGTACAGTTCGAGGGACTTACGGGGTTTAATTAATGATTTGATTCTGGCATTAGCTAATCAGGTCGCCAGTCACAATAGTACACATTTACTCTAGACGTAAGTGGTACTTCGAACCGTTGCCACATCTTTACCACTAAGCTCTTAATTGTAAGATAATTTAGTTGTAAGGCTGCACTTTCAGTAAGTTAGGTGCTTGGCTGAGGTTATACGAGCTGTGAAGGTTCTAAATTTTCCAACTCGGCAATTCGCCTGCCTTGAAGGGAACTGTTAATGTACAGTAATATTCCGACCTAGCGTAACATGAAGAGTGTCATCATTGCCTTGACATTTCTTGCAATAACAACCTTGTTGTACTTGACGGTGAGATCTGACATTATCACTCCCGGGTGATCTTGTTTTCCAAAAGTATACCTATCTTAACCCAACACTTATGTTCTAAGTACCACCATCACCCTCTTACCCCTCACCATCACCGCCCTCTTCCACCTCCTCTCCCACCTCCTCTCCTACATTTCTTCCTTTGCCTCCTCCACCGCTTCCTCGCCTTCCCTAGCAGCAACAAGGCGCCAGGATGACCACTTGCTGCCTGCACTACCATTGTCGGCAGACGGGGGTGAAGCCAGGCGGGTGATATTGCCACTGTTGCTTGTTTATCATGAACGATCATCACTCTTGTGCACTCGACAATGCAGGTGCTGGTCAGGTGACAGCAGCGGCAGGTGGCAACAGAAACAGTAGGTGGTGTTGTTGGTGCAGGTGGCAACAGCAGCCCTAGGAGGTGCTGCTGTGCAGGTGGCAACCAACAGTAGGAGGCTCTGCTGGTGCAGGTGGCAACAGCAAGAGTAGATGGTGCTGTTGGTGAAGGTAGCAGAAGCAGCTGTAGCAGCAACAGGTGGTGGTAGTGAGTGGTGGTGGTTGTAGCAGTAGTGGAAGGAAGAGGCGTTGGGTGGAGGTATTGCTACTTGAAGCCGATTTCAGGGGTCTTTGCCCCCTGCGGTCCGGGGATAGCCTGATCATCCAGGTATTCCAGGCAGATTACTACCGCCCTTCTGAAACTTAGATGTTAAAGCAGGTTATAGGTTAAGAGGCTGTTGCTTGTGTTGACACACTGTGGTGAGTGTTGCCTGTGTGGAGACACCGTGGTGAGTGTTGCCTGTGTGGAGACACCGTGGTGAGTGTTGCTTGTGTGGAGACACCGTGGTGAGTGTTGCCTGTGTGGAGACACCGTGGTGAGTGTTGCATGTGTGGAGACACCGTGGTGAGTGTTGCCTGTGTGGAGACACCGTGGTGAGTGTTGCCTGTGTGGAGACACCGTGGTGAGTGTTGCCTGTGTGGAGACACCGTGGTGAGTGTTGCCTGTGTGGAGGCACCGTGGTGAGTGTTGCCTGTGTGGAGGCACCGTGGTGAGTGTTGCCTGTGTGGAGACACCGTGGTGAGTGTTGCCTGTGTGGAGACACCGTGGGAGTGTTGCCTGTTGGACACGTGGGAGTGTTGGCTGTGTGGAGACAACGTGGTGAGATGTTCCCTTGTGAACACCTGGTGTTGTATGCCTGGTGGAGCACCGGGTGAGTGTGCCTGTGTGAGACACCGTGGTGAGTGTTGGCCTGTGTGAACACCGGGGAGTTGTTCCTGTTGGAGACACACGTCGAGTCTGTGCACGTTGGAGGCACCGTGGTGAGTGTCTCCTGGTGAGACACCGTGGTGATCGTTGCCTGGTGACACACCGTGGTGAGTGTTGCTGTGTGAGACACCGTTGGTGTTGCCTGTGTGGAGAACCTCGTGGGATGTTGCCTTGTGTAGCTACCGTGGTGAGTGTTCCTGTGTGGAACACCAGTGGTGAGTGTTGCCTGTGGAGTACCCGTGGTGAAAGTGCCGCTGTGGAGACACGTGTGAGTGTTGCCTGTGTGGAGCTACCGTGGTGAGTGTTGCCTGTGTGGAGACACCGTGGTGAGTGTTGCATGTGTGGAGACACCGTGGTGAGTGTTGCCTGTGTGGAGACACCGTGGTGAGTGTTGCCTGTGTGGAGGCACCGTGGTGAGTGTTGCCTGTGTGGAGACACCGTGGTGAGTGTTGCATGTGTAGAGACACCTGGGCGAGTGTAAGCGATGGTCACAGGAGGAGTGTTGGCTGGCGTAGATAAGTGTTGGAGACCCCCTTGTGATAAGCTGTGTTGTCAGCAGCTGACGCATGGCTGGTGAGGCCTGGGTGTCATGCCAACCTGTTCCTGGCCCACACTAACACCATTGTTCCTCACCTCGACACTCCCACAGTCTGTCACACACATACACATCTCTCTACACTCACGACAGCCTCTCACGCACACCTCGACACACACTCAACAGCCTGTGCTCGTCTAGTTGTGTTCACAGGTTGATAGATACCTCCTGGACCTTCCTTTTAACTACTGTCACCAGCTTTTCTGAATATTGGTTTCCAAAATATTATCAGAGCTACTCTTAAAGCTGTGCATACCTTTGAGTTCCGGAAAAGAGCCCGGCCATGGGCCAGGCTTGTCTAGTGCCTGCCTTGTCAACCAGGCTGTTGCTGCTGGTGGTCCGCTGCCCCACATATCCATCACAACCTGGTTGATCTGGGTTTGCCTCCAACAAAACGCGTTCCAGTGTGTCCCGGACAAGCTTCATATTGAGCTGACAGCATTGTAGACTTGTAGAAATTCCAAGACTGATTATTTGGGACACCTGACATCCCTCACATTATTATCGTTATAAATTATTAGTGTGTATAGGTGCCAATTTACCAGTTATATTTTTAAAATGGTTTGGTATATTTTTAGGTGAAATAG